ATACTCTATTTGATTATTTAATTACTTTTTTTCCATTCTGCATTTAGCTGTCAGGATCATTTACTTCTAATAAAGGTTAGGCCAGTTAAATAGTTTGTCAGATAGAGAAACTACACCTATTCATTTTGTCCAGGGAGATTTTTTGATGGCATTTTGTACTGGTATTCTGTGAGTTTATGTAAGATGTTATTACTTTATTCTTTGATTGATTGGTGTAAAGTAAATATACATTGAGAGAGTGAGATGAAGGACATGGTGTGCCTAAGGCTGGGGAACAGCAAGTTTAGGAGTGCAGGAAAGAATGTCAAATTTTATGAAGGATTAAGACAAAGAAAATTAGGGAATATGACTAGTGTCTTCAAGTAAACAAGGCAGAAACCTCATGTGAAATAACAGTTTTGAGAGAACTTCATGCCACATTATTTCTAAGCTTTTGTCACTAAAAAAACAAACCTCTAGAATTCTATGATAACTTCTCTAAGAATTTAACTAAGAAACAAATCGGTTATTTAGAGTTACTATTTAATTAATCTTTTAATTTAGGTCAAAATTTCAGATAGGAGCATGGAATGGCTTTAATCTGTCCAGATTAGGCACCTCATAAATCAGATTTTAATATACCTTTCCCTTTCTTTAGTTTCTCAACAAAGGCAGAAAGATGTGGACATAAAAGGTGGGTACTGTCTATTCCAGCTGTAATTTCCATGATCCATAAAGAATGGATGCTTCTTTACTTGTCTTGAACCTACTGTTCACCTTACTGGCTCTTTAATAATTGCAGGCTACACAGTCAAAGTAAGCACTTACTTCTGCTTTGAAAGTATCAGGGCTCATATTTAGTATTGTTTATACAATTTTCAGCTGGCCAATTGTCCATAATTTCTATATTATCAATTTAACTTTAAGTGATGTATTAAAGTGAAAGTTAAAAATTGTATGGGTCTGTTTTTAGAGGAAATGGATGAATTTATCAGCTGGTGAGCTGCAAAAATAATTTTATCACATTTTCAGTCGTTTCAAAATTGCAGTTGCCCTCCAGCTGAAGTGCTGATAGGTCTATTAAAAACACACCTGGGCCAGATTAACAAAATATTTTTGGGCTGAACTGCATAGTGGCCAGAATATAGGTATCTAAGCCAAAATCAGAAGGCCACGAGAACCTCTTTCAGAACTTTCCTTAAGCCAACTGAGGTTCACTCGCTCTAGATGCTCTGGAGCTTGAAGAAGGGATGCAGACAATAAGAGGCAGATGGAAATTCACTGATCAGTGCTCTTAAGGTATCCTGATCTTGTCTGCAAAAAGCTGAAGTTTGAGAAGTATGAATTGCCTTAACATGGAATACTTCCACCCATCACAAAAGCAGAAAAATTTGCAAATATATTTATTTACGCTAAGGCACAGTATAAGCAGCATTGGTTTGCTTTTGTTCATAACACTTTTGAGCTCAGCCCTATGCAAAGTGATCTGTTAGGGTGATGGGGAATCATTGCATTATTTTAAAGGACCCTTGAAGCTTTGGAAGTCTCTAATTTACTTGTGTGATGAGTGGACCCAACCCATGGATCTCAGTCTGGTAGGATGGAAGTCCAGAGACCATGTTGCAGAAGACAAGCTTAACCTAGGCCCATACCAGGCGAGTCAGGTGGACAGAATTCTAATAAACCAGGCTTAAATTTCTAGTCAGTGTGATACATGCACAGATTTACTCTACATCAAGAAAAGTGTTGGTGAGAGTAATGCAACAGTTCAGACCCCAGTGGTGTGTGCTGTGTTCCCTTGGAACAGTGTGTGGCATAAATTATGGCATTATATGTGCTAGTTTCCTTCTTGAATGAATCCTGTTCAGTTAGCTGGTCATTCAGGTATTAAGCACCACTTTGTTTTCATCTGGCTGGGCTTTCTTTCCAGTGAGTCACCATCCATGGGTGAGACACTTGCTCAAAAAGAAAGATCAAAGTAACTATTGTGTCAATTTGTATTGTAAAATAATTGTTGTGTGAAATGACTTCTGGTCATTTACACCGATATGAGAGTATCATTCAGTTGCATGTTGGAAGATGTTAAGAAGGAAGCATATAAAATGGTTAACTGAAAAAAAAAAGAAAAAAAATTGTTGCTTCTTTGTTTGTTAGCTGTAATCATATCACAGATTTTTAAATTCAGAATTTTATTCTTTTCTATTCTTGTTAGAAGATAAATCTTGATCAGGGAAGAAAAGCATCTTTTCTTAACAAGAGGTAAATTAAGGTACTAATACAGTTCAAGTGCAAACAATAGGACAAAATCATGTCCTGCAACATAATAAAGTAATTTGATAGTATATCTCAGTAAGAAAGCTAAAAAGCATTGTAATACAAAATTAAACTCTTATCAAGGCACAGCATATACATAAGGCAACTAATTCACTGTACTTTTCAGACTCATATTTGAGACACTTTTTGCACAGACTTCTTTCTTACTTTCTGGACAAAATTGTATCCATGCTCACTTTATCATCATGACCTTGGCTGAAAGGTTTGTAGTATTTGATGGATCTGGTGGGGAGCATTTGCTATTACTTATTTTCTCAGATTAGGGAAACAGGTAGGAAATGGGTCATTAAAACCAGTAATATTCCTCAAACATTTCAAGTGATCTATGAAACATGCACTACAGCCCCGCATAGCAGGAAAGTTGCAAGTAAATGATCCTTGAGATCACTTCCAAACCAAACAGTTTTGTGATTCTTAAAGAATGAAGAGGTTTTAGTTGCTCCTAGTTCCATAATCTTGTGGAATACTTTTCATACTGCATGACAGATAACAAAAAACATTTTGATCGGTGCTTATACAGACAAATAGTAACTTTCTGAACTACGGATGTATTAAAGCTGCATTTATATTTGTAGTTGCTTCAGATAGAGTATCTTAAATCAGCACTGTATGAGCAATTCAGTCTAATAGCAAAGTGCTCATAAAATGTTTTCGTTAAAATTCTCTGATTCTGCTACTACTGACACTTGTTTCCATTTGTTCAGTTTTAATGTTTCCTCATATCCTCTAGTCTTTAGAAGAAACTGTTGCTTTTAGGATCTGTTGTTTTATGATCAAAGATTTTGACAGCTTCTTTCCTCTCTTCCCAATTATGTTAAATTGAAGTGGAAGGCAGAGAGTGTTGACATTAATGGGCTTTACTTTGGGTTTGACTTCCCCCATTGGGAATGAGTGCTAAAGATCCATGTAAGAGCTCTCATGCACTACAGCTCTGCAGAGAAGGGGTGCCCAGGCCATGCAGCAACAAGCAATCCTCGTCCTGCAGTGGTCACTGTCCATTTCATTGTCTATTCTTGATTAACTTTATTTCAGTATTTCACTGGTCTCATCTTTCTTTCTGCTTGTACTTTTTGGTTTTTAGCTACATTTTGTTTGTAAGCACTCAGGGATATGAAACCTTTTGCTTTCTATAGCATCCCTATAAAACAATAGACTTACAAAGAAAGCAGAGAATATGCAGACATATTATGCAGATTTTTTTTTGGCCATGTTTTCTGGGAAATCACTCAAAACTTCCTTTGTATTACCTAGTCTGCATTCTGCTAAACCAAGACATGTTTTTCCATATTCTTGTATTCTTAAGTTCTGCCAGTTTTACAATACTGAGAAATTCCTGATGATCAAGTTTCGTCCTCCATTTCCCTGCAGGTACAAGGTATCAAGCCACATATTATCATTTAAGTAAAGAATTTCTGTAAATCTCACAGTAATCCTATTGTTTGTCACATTTACAATGACTGAGATACTTCTCTTCCTTGTTTAAGGTTAGATCCCCATTTTCTCCGTTCTTGTTTTTTCTTTCTGGTCTTCCTTGCATAATGATGTCTTGTGCCAGTTTGCAGCATGCAGGCATCAAATACAGGATTAAAGGTATTGGAAGGCATATGCTTTTCTTGTTTAAATTTAGAGCTACAGTAAGGCAATCACAGTCCTTTCATGGCTAAAAATAAAAAAAAAAAAACAACTTTGACTAGAGAAAAAAACCAAAACTCCTGTAGCTAAGGAGGGGCACCGTATATTATCCCATCAATGTAATACTACTCCTTTCTGGTGGAGCAACATTTTATTAGTTTTAATTATGTTTACTTAGAAAGAAAAATATGAAAGGTTTTCATGAAGTAATAATTTGTTCCAAGGAAATAATCTATGAACAGGGAAAGATTTTACTTGATAAATAGCTCTTAATCACTATCCAGTGATGATACTCAGTGGCCCAAAAAGCCGTTCATGTCAAACTGTTAAGGAGGAGATAATAAACTTCATTATTTTAGGCAACATTTATCTAAATATTGAGGTTCTCCTATGAAATGTAGGAGGAGCTGGACTGTATAAAAAAATTAATCTATTAAATAATTAATAACTGTGTCTACACCAACACAATATCTTCTGTATATTACTTATGCAGGAGTAGAATGCCATTTCACTATTTCTGCTTGTAAAATCATAAAATCTCTTAGTGTAGAAACAATCCTAGCATCTCATATAGATTTATCTATATTTTAAAATTTCTAAGTGTGTAAACTCAGTATTATATGTTCAATTTTCTTCAAGAAATTATATTTATGTAAAATATTATTGTAAAAGCAAAGCCTGCATGATAAGGAATTACAATCTGTGTGGAATCTTAATTTAAAATTTCTGTAATGTAGATAAGCAGAGTTATGATATATGAAATATTGTTATGAGTTAGTAATTGTGTTTCATTGTTTCTTTGGTCTTAAGTCACTGAATATTTCTCACAACTGAAGACATCAGGGTTCTTCTCTGGACATGTGGAATGACAAATATTCACAGATCTGCAGGCTTTCCTGAAGGTGGCTCCATTTGATAAAGGTTAAATTAGACAATCCAGGATCAGATCAACCCCAAATTCTCATCAGAGTAATTGGTCAGAGGAGGAAAAAGCAGAAATAACAGTTCAGATAACAGGTATGAATAATGCCATAAGAATTTCCATAAAATAATTCTGGAATTTAACCAACATGTTCTTGAAATTTATCAACTGAGCAAATACTCCACAAAAAATAGAGAAAACAATCTTTGCCTCTTTACAGTGCATGTCTCCATCTAAATTCTAAACTAAGGACTGTCTTAACTAGTAATTTTCCTTTCTTTTTAATTCTGGCTGCTAAAAGATACAGGTTCATTTGACTGTATCTCATTCACACAGAGTTGTTTCCAGCCTCAGTGAAATAGAGAACAAAGCATGCTCAGGAAAACGCTTGTTTATTTTAGGATAGTTCTCAATTCTGCCTCAAATTTCTTCAGCTCGGGATGTAGATGAAAAGATAAAATGTACAAAGCTTCATTTCAAAAGAAATTCTGAAATAGAAAATGGAAGAGGAAATTAACTTTCAGTGTACTTTAGATGAACTATAACTTCAAAACTTTGAAACCCAGGGAACATGATTATATTTGTCTGAAATTAAAAAAACAAAACAAAACAAAAAACCGAAAAAAAGAGTAGTGGTGAAACATTTTTAGTCAAGTTAAATGCTAGGGTTCTAGTAGACAGCAACTTCCATCTCCATTACCAAATAATTTTTGAACACTGAGGTTTTCTGTGATTTTCTAATGGTTCAATGACAAAGGATGGATTATGGGAAAAAGGGACATCTTTCCATTGCAGAGGCCAAACATTTAAAACTCTAGAGAAGCCTAAGATATGTAATCAAGATGTCCTGAAAATCTATAGAGTTCTACAAGGTTATCTAAACTAACATTTTTCTCACAACTCAGGCACAGCATCTTTGAAACACAATGCATAAATTAAATATTTTCTAGTTGATACATTTTTAGAAAAAGGTTTTAAACCTGCTTTAAGTACTTCAACATTGTTCAAAGTATCATATGCAATATTTATACATGTTCTAGTTTCCCATCAGCAAAAAATGTCCTGTACATCTCTCCCAAATCACTTTTCTCAGAGTTTGATCATAAATTAATGATGACACTCTAACCAAGCAGTTAAATTAGTACGTGCAGAATGCTTGCATATGAAAAAGTGTTTGTCACTAGGAGTTAGATAAATCAGAAAAATAATAGCAGGGCTCATTGTAGATGGCTAAGTATATTTACAGGACAACACAGTCATAGCTTATCTACAGTAAGGGGCCAGAAAATAACTTTCTCTGCCCTTCTAAAGACCTTCAAATCTTTAGTGTTGGCTCCATTAAGATAAATATTAGATGCTGGCTATCTATACCTTCATGTGTGCATATATATTGGAATCCAGTATTTAATGCATTGAGCACTAATTGTATTTTAGCTTTCAAATCAATGTCACATAAAATTCATGGGAAAATATCATAACATTTCATCAGAAAATGAATCACTTCAGTATGAAATCCTTTAGAAAAAATATGCCTCTAAAGATTTTTCTGCATTGAGCTGAAAAATGCTACAGGCATAAGATTAGTTATTTAAATTAAATAAGAATGGATTTTATAGAATGAAAAAAAAGCTTTTTGGTTTCTAGTTTTCAAAACCTAGGGAATAGAGTCCCAAATATAAGAATCTCATCCTGCACTCATGAAAGACTCGTTAGAATTCAGTAAGGAAGGAAGTGTCACAGGTGGGGTAAAGAGCTGAGAACTGGGAATTAGAGTGTATCATCACAGAAATATTAGTTATTCTAGTTGTTGGCAAAGTAAGGTAAGAAATAAGAGAAATAAAAAAGGTAACAGTCTTTCCATGGCACAGAGAATTTGGAAAGGCTGCTACTTTTAAACAAATTTTTGTGTTTTTTTTTTTTTAAGAAATCTTAGAAAATTCATATTCTACGTCTCTCACCTCTGTAAGGATTTAGGAAAGCTTGGGACAGTTCACATGCTTATTTCTGAACCTGAAGACAGTTTTCCTTCCTGTTCAAAAGTTAAAATATGAATTAAAAAAATTATTGTGACTTGATGGAAGTTCAAGGTTTCCTTTACTGTTTGACCTGCAGCACAGGAGATGCTATTTGTAGATGTTTAAGTTTACTTATTATTTTAAAGTTTTGGGGGTTTGTTTCTGTTTTGTTTGTTTACTTGTTTTAAATACAGGAAAGTATTTAAATATTTAGTAGTTCAGTGTCTTTTGTCAATTGCTTTTCTTTAGAAGAATAGCATTTAAAATGTCTCCTGTTCTCCATATGAATGACTTATAAAAAATGCGTACTTCTTAAAGCTAAATAAATAAGGAAAATTAAAAAAAAATATTTTCAGCAAAGGCTTATTGACTTAATTGGCTTTATGTAAATTCTATCTAATGACAGCATGGTGTGGTCTATTTCTATTTTAGTGGTACAATAACTAGTGTATTTAGGGGGCGAAATAGTCTGAATAGATATGAATAAGCTTTTTATATAGAAAAAAGTGGTTACTCAATAGTTTTTAATTTTACTTAAATTATTTTTCCTTATATCAGGTTTTGGTAAACACCAGCAGAATTAGAAACTGACAAAGAATTTTGATTTTAAAATACCTAAAAAGATACCTCTTTCTACAAAGAACCATTTCTATCAAAATCGACTTATTTGGAAAGAAAATATTAAATTCTTTCAGAGTAATTTAATTGTCAAAATAAAATTCAGTAGCATATAGAAGTTTCAAATAAACATAAATTTTCCATAATTTTAGTTTCTAATTCCAGTTTGCTTTCAAGTTTTTTACTCTTTCCTCCACTTTGTCTTGCTTTCTTCCCCTATTCTACTGTGAAAAAAAGGGAAAATATCAAAAGGGGAATGCAAAAGGACTTCTATTTTTCAAAAATAAACAAAAAAAAGTATTTTTTATTTTTAAATATTACTGCATTTAAATGTCTCAAATTTTGATATACATAGATATTTGTAAAGAAAATTTTCTTCTGTCTGTGAAAAACTATCTTGAATAAAAGTAAAAAAAATATTTTTGAATTTCAGTACTAACCATGGAATAGTAGAGAAATTCAAATACGTCTTTTCCTTCTTCCTTTGGATACGTACTCTGCCTGTATATCCCTCTTTTAATGGTGTTTTAAATGCCTTGAAGATAATTTTGCAATTCAGAAATAAAATCAAATATTTTCACTTTCTTTCCAAAAGTGGGAGCAGGAGACTCCTCTTTTTCCTTACTTATTCTCCATTGGATTATAAAAAAATATAAGGATTTAAAATTATTCATATAGTGATAAAAGAAGAAATAACATTTTTAAAAATTAAACCAAATTTTTTCGGGAGATTACAATGAAACAAATAATTGTCAACTGTAACTACAAAAAGAAATGCAATCTTAATGAACACAGTTCTCCTGCTCTTAGAAATAAGTTTGTTATGCCATGTCATTGTTTGCAAGATTGCTTTAAGCAGCAGGTTTTTAAAATTAATTTCTGTCTTTCATGGTCTGTAGAAGGTAGAAACTAGGGACCCTCTTGCTTGCCCAGGGGAGTTAATGCAATTTATTTTCCAGATCATGAAGGCAGCAACAAATCCACTGTGAGGTCAGGAAGCACAACAAAGTCATTCCTGAAGGAATGTCATCCTAACAGAGATACAGCTAAACACACCTGGAAGCTATTTTATGTTATATTATTATGATGATATATTATTATATAATTATAATTATGAGATCTTATGTTAATATTATGAAATATTTTCATCCTTTCACATTAAAAAGCTGAACATGACAACTAATTTTTCATAACAGATGAATGTGAGCCTCCTCACTAAATTCCACCCTTAGCCAAATCACTAAGGGATCCCAGCTAAGTGGGGATGCTAAGAAAACATGGTTTGCATTTGAATTTTGAAGGGTTTCATTTTCCTGTGTGGTGTGAGAAGCAGCTGACCGTGCCATTGCACCCAGCTCCATTCACATGCTCCTCTGCAAGCAGATGCCACAAACCCCTGCTGCTGGGGTGATGCAGGACACGTGGACATAGGTTTGAGGCAGCCACAGCATCTGTGGCATGAATTTGCAGCTGAGGAGCCTTCAGCAGCACAGCCTGTTCCACCACCCCCAGTGCAGCTCAAAGCCAGCTCCTGCTTGCCCAGGAAGGAGCACAGGCATATCCAGCTTTGGTTACCACTATATCCATGATAATAATTTAGTTCTGGAGGTTTGAAATTATTCTGACATCCTAAGAAATAAGAACAAAACATGGGTTTTTCAGAAAGAATATCAGCTCTATATTTTGAGTTTGTGGATGAGAACAATCTAATATCACCTGAAATCTACATGAGCTTTTGCTCCAAATCATTTGAGCAGAGAACTTTAAATAAAATTTCCATTCTAATTAGAAGAAAACATAATCATCAATGTTGTGGTAAACAAAGCTGACAATATCAGTGTGATAATTATTTTAAATGTACTGTCATGCTTGACAAATTTAATTGCAGGATGTTTTTTATATGCAGAGGTTGCAGACTCTTAGTAGTAATCAAACTAATGGTTTGTCCTTGCCACTTAGCAAGGTTTATTTTGTGCAGTGAAAACATAAGGTAAGCATAGCACTGGCATTGTGTCAGAATACTGATGATGTTGATATCCTTCCTACACAGAAGGATGAGACTGTTTGGAATATTTTTATTTGATCACTATCCCTTATTCAAAAGATACTCAGAACCTAAGAAAGTAGAGATATTTTGCCCTGTCTGTCCTGTCTTAGATATCAGTGTAAATTTTGAATTCCTTTCTTGACTGAATATGCTTTTCATATATGAATATAAGCTATGGGGGAAAAGGAGAATTAATGCTCCAAATCACGTGATGAGCACTGGGCTTTGAGAGGAGTGCATGAAAAATCACAGTAATTAATTAGTTTCATCTCATTCAAACTTATAAGTCCCTAAAGGAGTTTCCCCAAAAGCTAAAGTAAGGATGGTTTAAGTCTGATTTCTTTATTTTCTAACTTGGAACAGAAAGCAAGATCCTTTTGGTTGGTTTCTTTCTCCCTATATTTTTCCTGATCTGATATAGATTGTTTTTCCTACTATTCTAATGCAGCTTTATGCATTAGAGCTATCAGCATCAGTCTCCAACTGAGCACTCTGCTCAAAAGCACTGACCACTCCTGTCCCTTCAATGTTGGGAAAAGACCTTCTTTTGGCTATACAACTCAGTGCAAAATAGCTGAAATGAAAGTGGATGTTATTCTTTCATATAATGATATATTCACTACTTTTATTTCTTTTTCTTACAGTCTTAATTTCAGCAAGCACACCACTGCAATTACAGCACCTTTCAACTATGAGCGGCTTTGATTTGAGATCTTTCCTTCATTTGTAAGGAAGAGCTGTGTCTTTCACTTCAAAATTTTCCATCTTGCTGTTAATAGATTTCTTATTGTTAAAATACTACCCCATTCCCTTTCTTCCCCATTTACTGCTTCCTTTTCAGGGAGAAAACTAAAAAGTAAAGGAACGATGTAATGGCTTGGCCTGCCAATGCTTACAGATTCAGGGTCAAAGAAAGATGCTGTATTCACTGCAGTTTACATTTTGTCTTTTCTGCAGAGCAATAGGGAAATCTTTGTTCGGTCACCAGCAGGTACCACTCTGCTGAAATGTTCCCATGGAGACAGGGCACAGCTGAACACAGCAGCAGAGGTGCACCTTACAGCCCTTCCATGGGGTCTGTGCCTACGTTTGTAGCTGGTGCAGTGCACAGCAAAACATCTCCCTTCTTTAGAAACCACATTTTTCTAGGAGTCAAATGTTCATTTCCTAAAGAATCCTCAAAAACCTATAAATTACATAAAGGAGGAACAACCAAACAAGTGTGTAAGCATTTCACATAAATTTCACAGAATTCCAGCGATGCTAGCAGAAACTCAAAAGCTCTGTATAATTGAGACACTTTTTTTTGTTTTGTTTTGTTTTTGTTTGGTTTTTTGGTGGGTTTTTTTTTGTGCTTTTTTGGATTTATTTCTAGATTTGAGATCATACAAATGCTGTCTTTAGCATGAGATGACTTGGACCCAAAGAAATACTACTTGTGATGTAGGTAGTTGGTTTGCTGTTTGGTTGTGACATTTGAACCATGTTTCATTTCACGCTTGCTGGAACAAGCTGCTCCTAGGAGAAAGACATTGACATTAAACTTTGGGTTGCACTTCCTATACCACAAGCAGGGAGAAAAAAAAAGTGTTTTTTTAATAAGTATGGTAAAGATTCATCAAAGTGTTTGATTCATCAAAGTCAGTGATAAAACTGTAGCTTGACTTCTTTAAAGTATTTTTCTAGAAAAAACTCAGATAATAATAATACTGCTTAGAAAATACTGATAAAAATTACCTTGCAATAGTTCAGACTTTTCTAGTCACCAGCATTGAAATTAACTAAAATGGAAGGTTCCAACAGAGCAATGAATGATTTAAGTAAAATTCTATAAGACACTGAATGATTTTGCTTGGTTAAATTTGATGAGGCAAATTTAAAGATGAGATATGCTAATTCTATATAATTAAAAACTTCAATAATTTAAAATAATTTCAAAACTACAAGCATTTTTAGAACTTCATTCTACTTTAAACTTAGTGACATTAAAAACTTCTACAGCATTCAACTGTACAGATGTTCAGCTGCTTATCCAGCTCAATGTGTTAAAATAATTATCAGATATGGGGTCCAAAGGAATTTTTGCTCCTAATTAGGAAGAATTTTTGCAGAAGCAAAATTTACTTTTTTTTTTTTTTTTTTTTTTTTTTTTTTTTTTTTTTTGTAGCCTGGGTCATCATCATCATCATTGTCTTCTGGGAACTTTATTGACAAAAGTCCAGGAATCTGGGAGGCAGATAATGCTCTCACTTCCTCCTTTTTTCTTCCTGTGGCACGTCATTGTCTTTGGGCACATCAGAAAGCATTTCCTGGCCCATGGAGTTATGTGGGATGAGGCTGTGACGTCCCCCTGAGCCAGCTGCTCTTTGTGGCCCTGCATGCAGTGACTCAGTGCCTCTTGCATGCCCTGTCACTGTGCCCTGATCACTGTGAATATGAAAACAAAACTGCACAGCAGCCTGCTGGGTCCCATTTAAACATTATCTCCATCTCCATGCTGGGGGTCACAAATGTGGTCTTTGCTGGAATGTCTCCAAAGGGAGGCAGGAGAGTTGAATTCAGCCTAGTGCAAAAATAGGAGAGCCCCAAGGCTTTTTGCAAGTGATGCTTTCCCCTTTGTGGTCCCATAAGATACCATGCTTCAATTCAAAGTGTTCTGGAAGTGAAGGAACCTTGTGAACCATGACCCTGTGAGAAATTCCAGGTTTGATGCCTGTCCTAACACTTACCAGCCTTTTTTCCCCCACCCCAAAGAGTCATAGTCTGCTGGAGCAGTACTTTAATTTGTGGTTGAAAACATCAAGATTTCCCATCCATCATGCTCTTGTCTCATGCAGTATTTGCAGAAAACTGTGTTGCAGGTACTTAGGATTCTGTTGTAAAAACCCTAATATTGTTAACATTTATTTGCTGCACCTTGACATCTCCCAGAAGTATGAATGGTTGTGATTTATTAAACAAGTCTGTGCTATATGAATTGGAGTCATTCTGCTTCACAAAAGGCTCTTAAAGTCAGAATTGGCTTGATGCAGCGTGGCAGGTATGTCAAATCCATGCTGCAGTCAGAGATGTACCCAGGGTTCAGTCTATCCTGATCCAAGTGTCACAGAATTATTAGATCTTCATCTTTGCAAGACAACTGATCTGGGTCTATTCCATCAGTTTTAAAGAGCCACTAGTCTGACATGGAGATGAAGAGGGACAAATATATTAAAGGAATAATTTTGATCCAAGATCTCATTCTGAGATCTGTGAAAGTACTATAACATATTGAATGAAAATATCTTTTTTTACAAAGGAGTTATTGACCTGCTTACTTGTTCTCAGATTGGTGAGCCTTGTGGACACCAATCTGCATTAGACAAACAGCTGAGCAGAGGAGGACATTCAGAACTATATTTCTCTTGAGATGAAGACAGAAATAGGTGTGACAATATCACAGCAAATTTTATCTTCAATCACATGTAGGAGATTGAAATATCTGTCCTGATTTTGGATGGCATAGAGTTACTTTTCTTCCTAGTTGCTGGTAGAGTGCTGGTTTGGTTTGGGACAAGAATAACGAAAACACATTCATGTGTTAGTTGTTTGTAAATGGTGTTTACACTAAATCAGGGACCTTTCAGATTCTCACACCAGCCCACTGGCAAAAGAGGACAGAGCTAGGAATACTGACCAAGAGGATATTCCAGAATTGACTGAAGAGATATTCCAGGCCATCTGGCACCGTGCTCAGTATATAAACCAGGAGGCTGTTCAGAGTCATGGTATTTGTTGTTGTCAGTCAGTATTAGGTGTGATGGAGCCCTGCTTTCCTGGGCTGAACTAGTGCCTGTCTGTGAAAAGTGATGAATGAATTCCTTGTTTTCTTCACTTTGCAATTTTTGCTCTTCTGATTATATTCTCCATTCTGATGCATGGGAAGGCAATGAGTGGCTTTGTGGGACTTGGTTGCCAGCTGAGGTCAAACACCATCCTGTTTTCAGAGCTTCTCTCTGAAAGGTAAAAAAACCCAAAGAATTAATCACAAGCAAAATTGTACCTTTCTCTTCCTTTTTATAGGTGCAGAGAGTGCCTGACCCTTGTGTCTGTTTAGTGTGGAAGAACTGTGCCTTACTGCTTGAACACAGGCATGGTTTCTGCTCAGCTTTGCAGTGGAATTCAACAACTATCTTGAGCTGAAAAATTACACAAGGACTTCCAGGATCAAACTTATTATGCATTCAGTATCCCAATACTCCATCTGCTGTTTCCTTGTTCCATATCCCATTAACAAATGCCAAGCTGCAGATTGTTTTTCACATAGTAATGAGCTGCATAAATATGTAAACAAAACAAAAGTTATATATTTCTGTTAGAACAAGTGCCAAGAACACCTCCTGTTGCAACACTACTAATGACAGGATAGCAACAGTGGAATAAAGAGAGTAATTTTCAGTATTCCCAGGTCAGCTGCACACATGGTTTCTCCAAAATAAGTAAGTGAGGCAATTTATTGCATACTTACAATGCACCAGATTCATTCCTGCTTTAATTGCAGTAGCCTCAGTGGATCTGTATCATGGAAGAATTTGGCCTTGCGGTTGGAAATCTTCCTACAGATGGTGGTAAAAAAAGGTGAACATCATAAATAATGTCATTATCCCAATTAACTGGAATTGATTAATTCATCCATCCATTTCCCAAGTGATTATCTCCAATTAAAGTAATTGCCTGGATAACATTCCACTGCTAGATCCCTGGATGAAACAGAGATTTCTAAACAGAATTTTACTCATATTCCATTACAACCACCAATACCTGGCAGCAGGGAAACACTTTGCAATTTGCTGTAGTTCAACACAAGAACAGAGGAAGGTTTGGAATATCTCTAAGAAACACAGACTCATGTATTATTATTTGTATAAGAATAGTTACTGCGGCATGGGACTTGAGTTGCAGAATGCAAGGGGATGGTGCGTGCTGTAAAGAAGTTATATTCATGAGCAAGACAGCACGAGGAGCACAAAGAAACCATGAGACAATACCAGTAGGCATAGCGGCCTCTCACTGTTTTATATTTCTGTAGGCATCAGAGTACTGATGTTTTTTCCAACCACATCCCTGAAGGTAGCCAGCTCTGTTGATGCTTACAAAGAGATCCTTCCAGCTGTGAAAGTGATAAAAAGTCTGATGACACCTGTCTGAAAACTTAAAACATGGGCGGAGGAGCCTGACACCACAGTATGACCAGAGGCAAGATTCTACTTTCTGATTGTGATTAGAAGATGATGGGTGTGACAAGGATGCCTTGAAAAGGCAGTTTCTGAAATTGCATGTGAAGTGTGAGAGAGATATAAAGTAGTAATTTAAAGAAAGTGATAACAAGCTCAAATGAGCTGTGTATGAGGAGGATGCCTGTAGCCACAGTATAGCATCTGCTAAGTTCAGGGAAAAGGCTGTTCTAAAAAATGTGAGAGTATGTTTAGATGTATGCATAGATGGGGATGAAAAACTGTATTTAAGGGATGTTTTCTATAGAGAATATGTAAAATTCAAGTAGAGTTTGAACCCAAAAGCCTTAAACTCAGAGCTGAATATAATGTTAAATTACTGGACTGCTTAATCACTCAGTTCAGTAGCTGGGCACACTTTTAGGAAAATTAGTTTGAGGAAATGATAACAGCAAAGAGATCAGTGTCTGCCCCTCTTCCCTTCATGAGGAAGCTGTAATTGCAGTGAGGTCTTTCCTCAGTCTCCTCCAGGCTGAACAGACCAGGGGTCTTCAACCAATCCTTATGCAGTTTCCCCTCAAGGCCCTTCCCCATCCTTGGTGCCCTCCTTTGGATTAAGCCTCCTGGTGGCCTACTGTATTTTTTATATCCCCTTCCTTGCCCAGCTGGCATTTCTGTGGCAACCAGGACAGGGTTGGCCAAGAAGTGAAACCAAACATGCAAACAAAGAAAAAGTTTTTTTTTTAAATTTTGCTAGAATAGCAAAAATAAAAATAGCAAAAAGTTTGTTGTTTATATTAAATTCCCAAACAGTATTTTGTGAGCAGACAATGTCAATGGACTCATAGCTAAACAGACGACAGGAATGAAGGGGGCAGCTTCATCAAGAAAGAAGCTGAAAAAGCACAGAGGCTAAGCTTTTGTTTTGGAAATCCTAGCTAAAATTCTTTGTCTGCCTGAGGAAAATTAACCAAGGTATCCTACCATGCAACTAATGATCTAGCACCTTTTGCTTGTTGCCATTTTGGTTTATTTAGACTCCTCATTGTCTACAGCAGGGATTGGAAGCCCTTAAGCTTCAAGGTTGGAGTCTTAACTTCTCACACAGAGAAGCATGGAATAAGAAACATTTTCACCAGGTGGGAAGGAATGATAAACAAGCACACAAACCTGAATGTATCTCGAGCATTCTCTAGATAGGTGGGAGGACCCAGTTCAGATCTTTGCCCACAGACAAAGTTCAAATAATGATTAAATTAATACGGAATAGCTATCAATAGCAGAAGTGAATTGACATCTCTTTGGATGGAGCAAACCAGGTCAAGAGGAGGTGTTCAAAAGCAGTGGTGTTCAAAAGGCAGACTGGTGCTTTCTTCTATAGTTTTGGGAATACAGTCACAAAACCATCTTCACATAAAGCTGATATCCATTTCAGGGCAGCTGAATCTTATTTTTGTGCCATTGCTATTATTACATTTTCATGGGATGTACCCTGTTCTAAACGGAATATTTTTCAGACACTTGAAAAATGTTAGTAGCACTTTTTACTACCTAGAAACTTTTTAGGGATTTGAGGAAATGTGCAACATTTTTAACATGATGCCAGTCAAATCCTTTTATGTTGAACTTATTGTAAACAATTATTTTAGGTGCCCAGTCCCATTGCTTGAGATAACCTCACTAAGTTGGGCCTCACTGACTTGAGTCTTCTAAAAGCTTGATCAATTCTGTCATTTAATCAGTTCTGGATAGGTTGAGTGCTGGATCAATAGTTCTTCACCAAGCCTAAGTAAATCAGATTTTAAGACATTTGTCCCAAAGTGCTCAGGACAGAGGAAATGTAGACATAGAATCAAGAGTATATCTTTAAAGATTCTCAGTAGGTCTATGAGTCTCATACTAATAAAAATAAAGCTTTTTCTGAAAGAAATCAAAGTTTCTTTCATGCACTCATGCACTATTAAAGTGAAGATTTTTTTTTAATAAGAAACACATAAGATCAATTAAACTTGAAAAAACCTTCATCACATTAAATGGATAAAGATTAATTGGTGGGCTTATTTACTTATTTTCTTTACATAAAGACATAACACAAATAAACATTCATTAGGTATCTAAAGCTCTAAGATGAGAGTAATATATTTTGAATAAAAAAGCTAACTAAAGGATTGAAATAACTTTTACATGGGAAAGAGAAAGCATGTCACAAAGGTAGCTTGCCTATCTAAACTAAACCTTGGGATAAATTTTAAGAAGGGAATCAAGGGGTAGAAGTAAATGGAATCAGCTATATTGTTGAATTGCCAAAGGTACATCAGGTTAAATCAATCCAATATTGTTCCTGACAAATTTTTTAAATTATATGCATTTTAAATTACCAGGACCTTACAAAGAAACCTAAGATTATGTAAATGATACAAGAGGGAGAGCAATTCAGAAGTGGCTGGAGCAGAGTTACTGCCAGGGTAGAGGGGGCTGGCAGTGGGTGTGTGTGAAGGAGATTTCAGTGGTGAGCAGGAGTGGATCCAGGAAGATACTGGTCTGAAGGTCAACCTCAGTAGCTATTTCCGGAATGCAAGTGATAGCTAGAAGTTACACTGCCTCTTCTAAAGGCATACAGCCCTTAAGAAAGTAAACAGTGTGACTCCTCTAACACATGTACAAGTATAACCCTAACAATATATTTTTGTTCATGGTCCCCCTTTTAGAAGAGGATGAATTGATTCTTAAAAAAACATGTTCTCTCTGAAGGTTTTATTTCCTGTTTCCTTGTTAAAGAGTTCTCAATAAATTGACTTTATAATTTTACATGTATATATGTAACATATATTTTGTGTTCTAATATGCAACACAGGTTAGCTCTTCAGGAACAGCACATTTCATGTTTTTTAAAGAGTAACTATCCATTTTTAAGGGTGTTATCTTGTGCTGATATTTGGTCAGGTAAAAGGAAATCTCTGGCACCCTTATAATATGACTTCCCAAAGAAAATAGCATGTTGTCTGTGATAAAAACAGAGGAGATTTCTAAAAGATCTAGGATTAAGAAGCATCACACCAAAAGGCCAGTATGAAATGGCCCTTTCCTGGCAACTTAGTTCTCTTGCAATTCTGAAAGTAGGAGTTACTTATTTTTTTTTAATATTCCATGCTAATTTATAATACATGTTTAAAATGTGTTGTTGAGAAATCATTTATAAAATGTGTTTGGAAACATATGATGACATTAGATAGCTGTCAGGCATTTAAATAGAGAAAATGAGTGTTTCACATACACCTGCAAGGGTGGGAAGGAGTCGCAGTTTGTCTGATTTACCATTGCATTCTGCATCACTTGACACCATGAACTTGACTTAAACATTTGCTGACTGACATCATTTGGAAAATTCATTGTCCTTGTTTCTATAAAGAGGCCTAAGGTCCCAAAGTGCCTTTATGTAGTAAGACAGAGATTGTACATTCACTTCCTAGTTCCTTTTTCCATCACTCAGAAAGGAGGGGTGGTTGGATGGTTTTGTTCAGACAGTGCTTTGAATACTTCTACTCCCTCCTTTCTTCCATAATGTTTCTTTTCTTTTAAGAGGACCCACCAGAGATTTTTCCATCCTTTTGCCTGATCCAGTATTCTTCTGATTCTGTTACAAGTTACCCAGAATAATTTTCTCTTAAAAAATCCTTCTTGTCATCTTACCTTCCCCAAGAGACCCCATTTTCTTTCTTAATGGAGAATAATATAACTAATTTTAAAGATAGATTTACCAATTTATATCTCAAGCCTTAACTTTGCTGTGCCCACTGTGCCACCATAAAAGATACGCAGGTGGTCCACTCCCACTCTGTCTTAATAGGTGCATTTATTATTTGCTCCTGCCAACCAGGCCCACTTATGCCTGTGGGAAGGCTGCAAGGACTGGTCCTGTAATGCCCTGTCAGTGAGCACTGTCTTTCAGATCTCTCTCTATCAACCTCTGCAGTTCCTTCCATTTCTGCTTTGTACTGCTCATGTTTCTCCTACTCCTGCTGCCCATTCACACTTTAATGGTGTGAACAACCAACCATGAGTGTAGGCCATTTCTCACTTAAGTCAATTTTGAAATTTGATGTCCTATTTTAAGCAGTTAGATCTGTCAGAAAATTCAGGATTAAAATGTTGTTGTAGAACAGTGTTATTACTGGCACCGAGTGGCTGCATGGGAAAGCATTTCATCATGGCCACATCACATTAAACCAAATGTAAGGAGGAGTGGAAAAGAACCACAAGAAGAAACTCCTCTTGCCTGTATACCTTGGGAAAGATTTCCTTAGAAGAGTTTATTTCCTGGTTGTAGTCATTTCCTGGAAAGTTATTCTGATTCTATGTTCCCAAAGGCTGATGATTTGCTGTGGAACTCCTCTATGCTCAGATAATTCCCTTTGCTGACACTAAATGCCCACCCATTTTCCATGTTGTGACACTCACAGAAAGCTGAGAGTACATAAAGATACAGCATCAGAAACCCTGCACACAGAGTTTAGGTGCTAACTGAACAAAGTAGAAAGATTTTTCTCTCCCTACCCTCATCTAGGAAGCTGGAGAGAGTCAAAATCCAGTCCTGAGCAGATTTAGTGAATTGGGTGGAAATGACAGCTGTTGTGGTGGAGGAGGCACAAGTGATCTCCAGGGCTGGGAGGTGACTGCCTGTGCTTCACACAGCTGTGAGCAGCAGCAGACAGAGCAGGATGTCACTCCTGCTCTGTAGATGCTGTCAACCACTTTTAGAGAACCTAAACCACAAGAATATTGTCAAACAAGCAAATGATCAAACAGCAGCAAATTTTCTGTCTCTGAGTAGTAACCAATTAGAATGATAGCGAAATAATTAGGAAGAGTGAGGCAGAGAGTGTAGAAGTTGGCATCTCTTCAAAATGACCCTTTTTTTATAACAGCAGCCTCTTTTAAACACCCCTGAAAATAATGAGCTGTAAGCTGCAATTAGCATGAAAAATAGAGTTATTGCAGGGAACAGTTTGAAACAAGTTCTAAAGCAAGGGCAACTTTGTGAAAAGAGTCTTGTCAGAAGCTGTTTTTTTCTTAGATGGAAGAGTTTCTGGCTAAAATTCCTTGATCTCCATTGCTAGCTGCACAGAGGAGTTATGCTTGTTATTAGTCAAGCTAATAACTTGGGAGACAAAAGAGGAATGGATGCAAACCACGTGTTTGTAGCACACAATGCTTTGTGTTTGGATGGTGAACAAACCCTCAGCTGGTGTGCTCTGGACTTTGTTGTGTCAGTGGCACCCCCGGGTGCTGCTCTGCACTGCAGTGCAGCCCTGCCCATTGCTGGGCCCTCAGTGAGCAAACAGAACTTCTTGGAGGGAACTGGTAGAATCCAAAGTATATTTAAAAACTAAAATTAAATTCTAAGTAAAAAGCAAGTGCTTTAACTACAAAGTCCCAATTTTGAGGTGTAACACAAAAGAATGAAAAGAAATTTGAAGCACTGGGCTATAAACAGCATCTTAGCACAATTTGTCATGACATGATGATATGTAGGAGGGAGCTGCTTGGTCAATCTGACAAAAATTTCAGCACAGTGTTGAAGCCTTAGCACACAATAGCATTCTTATTTTAAGTTTAAGGCAAAAAATATGATGTAAAATTATTTTACTGCTGGAAATTAGGCTCTGCTGATTTTGCACATTACACTGACCCCTTTTGACTACTATCAGCCCCCTGAAGTCCTAAAGATTAAGGGATAAATATAGATTGCTTCCATTTTTTTGTCAAAACACTGTGACAGATGAAGCAAAGGTAGAATTTAGACCTCTATTTATTGCCAAAATAAGAGGAAATTCTCTACATTTTTATAGCTAATACCACCATGTGTTGCTAAAATTGAGTCCTACAAAATACATCAGTATTTAGACAGGAATATAAGCAACAAGTTAAAACTATAAGAGAATAGAAGTTATGACCCTGGTGATTCTCTGTAAAAGGTGATATTTGATGGTACATTTTCAATAAAATACATATACCATGGAAGTCACTGTGCAAATTATACATGCAGAAAACTAACTGCCTGCAAGGGTCAAACTGAAATGCCAAACATATATCAAAGATAGAAATCTGAATCTCTCAAGGACATGCTGATTCAAATGCTTGAATTCTTCAAATTTTTCATAATCATGAATGTAAAATTTGTTTGGATATTGCTGTAATCACAAAGATTCCTTGTTTAATTTTCCTGTAATGTTTCATGTTCCCCAAACCAGAGGACCTTGATTATCTATCATTCCAGACAGATAGAGACCAGAGAGCTCTTGATTATCTTTCATTCTTTTACACTCTGAATCTAGTTAGATTAGGTCTTCAGGCAAAAGTGATAGCTTGCTTTCATTATTTAAAAGCACTTTGCTCTTCCACATGGAGATTTGTTATTATTTTGGTTTCATAGTTGACTAGAAAGAACTCCCATTGCCATCCTGAATTTAGACAAAATAAAAACAAATTTGTCAAGCTCCATTTTTAGGAGTAAAAGGCATTAATTTGGCTCCAATTAATAATTATATTTTGTTAACACCACACTCCATGTGGAGTTCAACACCTTTTTCAGGGTCCCTGAGGTTAACCCAGAGAAATCATGAGTGTCTTCTTGCAGGTGTGAGTTTTTCTATCAGGATATGTTTGATTGAAAGCATCTGATTCACAGCCTCTGCCAGGACAGCAGATGCTGTGCGAGTCATTTCAGAGTGATACAGTGTGCGGAACTCATGACTGCAAAAGTAACATCTTATCTCTGAAATCTTATTCCAACACATATTTGAAACCACTGCTTTTTGAAAAATTTTACTTAGGAAAGTTTTAGAAAATAAGTGTTTTGCTTATCCCTTGAGTCAGTACTCTGTTGCTTTCTGATATTCATGGGATGTTGAATGCTGCAGAAATTGTGGGTTGGGGAACATTTTGGCTACAGCTTATAGTGGACTTTGTGCAGGAATGAACTCACATAAATCCCACTGATACAGTCTGTTCTGGCCATCTGTAATTCAAGGTACAGACTTCTGACAGACTGGGACAAAGGTACAGCATTAAGGCAAAATAGCAAAAGTGCTAGTACTTACCATGGAGGAGAAACTGCCAAATGGAAGGTTCTAGATTAGAATCACATTATAAACCTAAGATTTCCTCTAATTCCCACAGAAGTTTAAAATTGGAGGAGACATTTAAGTAACTGAAGGAAAACTGACTTGATTGTAAGGCAATTGTCATCACTGAAATAATTTCCAGCTCTGTTCAGCTCTGCTCAGTTATGTCTGCAGCTGGTGTGAAGTGCAGAGATTTAGAAAGGTCTTTGAAGTAAGTGCTAAAAATGTCAGCTCTATCAAGCTATACAAGGCAGTGCAAAACTGAGTTTTCTTCCCACTCACACTTTAGGAGTTTAGGGCTAAAAACTGTTTCTCTTGTAATATCTGCTCAGCTGTTGCCTATTCTAGAGAAGGTAAAGTTTCCATGAGTGCAGACATGCTTAAATTTTAGATTTCTAATGTACAAATCTCCTTAAAGCAAACGCCTAAAATGCTTATATAATGTATAGCGAAAAGTAGGTGCTTCTCACAGTCTCTTGTTTATGTAAACATAGCTAAGCTGAATAGAGAGAGAGCAGATGAACAGCAGATGAATAGCAAAATCTGAAATCCCTGACTTGTTCCATCAGATATTGTGTTATTAATTTTATATTTTTATAAGAACATGTTCCTTAATCTAGTGCAGCTTCTAACTCCTGAGCCAGTAGATAAAATGACAATCATCATTAGCTCCTCTTCCATTAACTGGAAATGTAGGGGTTTGAAAAATAGGGCCACAACCCCTAAAAGAGGGGGGAAAGTCTGTTTGGAATAGCTTTTGACTATTTACCATTGCTTCTGCTTCTTAGAAGACTTCTGTCATTAACCACCAGTGTAGGCTGTCATTTATGACATTTTTGGGTGATTACATCCTCCTATTCATATTTCAGAGAATTTAGACCCCCATTCAGGCCTCTGTTGAATATATTTGCATCCTATTGGATTTTAGCTGGCAATGACTGTTTTCAAACTCCAAACTCAGTGAATAAGAAATCAGAATTGGCCAAGAACCCAAAGCTATCTTCAGTTTTAATCTTTGTTCTAGACTGCTGCTGCCATGGCTTTAGTTATTAACTACTCTCTTTTTTCTGAACTGCAATCTGCCACCAGTACTTACACACTACATAGGAGAGGAATGGAGTGGATTGATAGTGCCTTAATAGAGCTGTTAAACACAAATCTATTCATAATTATTATTATCCAACCACTGATTTCCATCTACAGGAAAAAAATTAGTCATGCTCTGCTATAATTTACTGATTTTCACTTGACTGGGGTCGAGTTTGCAATTGAACTGCAAAAAAAAAAATCTTATTTACTTCAGAGGGATTTTTCCTCAGTAGCATATATTACATATTCTTCAGAGAAAGTATATTTCCCTTGCAATGAAATACCTAAAAAGGAAGTTCAATTTCTAGGAGATTTTAGATCTCAAATGACAAAAAATCCACAGCTAAAAGAAATCCTTCTACAATTAACTCTTCAGCAGTTTGAATTTATTTACATATATAGTAATAGATATGTCTGTCTGTCTATATCCATCTATCTATCTATCTATCTATCTATCTATCTATCTATCTATCTATCTATCTATCTGTCATCTTTTTTCTCCTTTTTTTTCCCCCCAGGACTATGCAAAATCCCTGCATGCTTGCAGGAAGAGTAGAAGATTCCCCACCATCTGACCAAGAGAGGAGAGCTCATCAGGCAGTTCTAGTGAAGGATTGCAGTCCTCCTATTTGTAGTTTTAATACCTGGCACACACTACCTGCAATAGAAAACAGATACTAGAAGTAAATGAAAAAGTACGCAGACTTGATTTTTTTTTAAGCATAAAAAAATGCTGCAAGATCAGCTAAAATTGATTACATTTGTTTTCTGGATATAGAAGAAAATTACATCCATTCTTCCTTTTCTCTCTGATCTGATTGGGAAATTCCACCATTTTATCTCTCTGCTGATATTTGCTCCTGCTAATATTCACTGCTTTTCATCCTGCCTTCGTTTGCAATTTATCCAGTAAAAATCTATAGCATTTAGGTTAATGAAACTTTTCAGATGCACTTTTTAAAAAGAAACTGAAATTTAGCATGAAAAGAAACAGAAATCAAAGTACAAAGCTTGAAATCTCATTGAGTTATTTGATTTTGAGAGTGTCTGGAACTCATTGTCATCCAAGATCATTGCAGCAGCAATGCCAAGACTTATGGCATACTTTTATTATAAAAAAAAGTCTATTTGAAATGTCAACGATTTGTCAAGTCAATGCTTTCACATTGCCTCAAGTTTAGGGCACAATCTCAGGCCCCTAAAACAGTTTTAACCTCCTTAGCAGACTTTAGAAACAAGAGGAGCCTGTTTCATGGAAGAGTCTCTGGAGCAGAGATCCCAGACTCCTGACCTGGCTGCCCCTTTCCTGCAACAGAGCACCACACCTGGCTCCCAGTTCTTGGGCTGCCCTTGATCCCAGAGTGTGCAGCAGCAAAACCTGATAGCAGAACCCCCTGCACTTACCTGACTGTTCACACTCATCAAAAATCAGCTTCCCAAAGTCCGTACTGTCACACAGAGCCTAAATTCCATGTCAGTCTTGACTCTTTCCTCTCACCACCACCCCACATTTCAGGAGTTTCAGTGAAATCGAGGGTCCATCAGAGGTTTATGGGTCTGGATCTTTGTCCCAACCCTGGTGAATTCCAGCAGAGTGACTCCAGAGAATTGTTAATCAGCTCTTCAACTGCTGAGGAACAGAGGTCCTGCCCTTTGGAATACCCTACTCTGCCATTTGGATTTCTAGGAATTTGACACAGTGACAGACAGCTCTGTGAATTAACAGGGTATGGGCTCCTGATATTTACAAGGGCTTTCAAGAAATGATTATACATTATTAATGCATAATAATTCCCCTTTGCTTCTTAACAAGCAAATGTTCATTTGTCAATGAACATTTACACCAGGGAAGGATACCTATGACTCTTCAAATGATCTGTTAAATATGAACTGATTCTGAGAAATTGGTTCACATGGGCTGCTTCTAAACTATAGAACATGCTAAGGAGGTGGAAAACTTTAAAAATACCTGTAATTAGAAATTATGCAGAAACACCCACCTCAGAGGAAAATCACATGCCCATATTTTCACAAATACATCAGCAGCTTGCCAAGTATCTTCCAAAAGCAATAAATATTTAAAAGCTTAATAGATTGCACACACATTAACAGTACAGCACCCAGCTGGTGGAACTGGCTTGAAGCACATCCCATCCTGCAATCAATAAAATGCTAAGTGGGTCTTGTTCCTGAGTGCTCCCCCTTCTACATTCAAAAGGTCACCTGTGTTCTGATATTCTCCTTTTTGAGCCTTTTTTTTTTTTTTTGATTGATGGTAACTTTGAAACAATCTAAGACAAATATTTTAGAACTTTCAATGGAGTCATAGTCTCATTTGACTGGAGTTTTATTCACTTTTGTCAAACTCATTATTGAGATGACATTTCAGAAGAATTCTTTTTAGTGAGTATTTATACTTCCATCTTCTTTAGAACACGATTTATTTTATCATTGTTCTGAAATCAAAGATTTTAGCATCAACATAAAGAGAAATAAAACTTGAAATATTGTCTAAATTTCTTCCTTATCAATTTTTTTTTGTGTCACAATCACAAATCATTGATGGCATGCTTATTTTCTTTGTTTTTCACTAGTTGTACTATTTTTTTACTACAGGCTTCATTTATGCCAGCCAAATACTAGAAAACAACTTGCAAATTTTAATATGACTTCATGTTTAATGGCATTGTATTTTTTCCCTAAATTTCTACTCTAATTTATCACAATTTTCTTCTCATCTTTATCACAAAGAATGGAGATCATATTTTTATTCTAGTTTTCAACTTCAGATCAAAAAACCTTAAAAAGAAGCAATCAATTTAGCACATAACAATACAGCTTAAATAAATCCTGCTTCCCCTTGTTTAAAAGGCAACATCTGAGATATAATGAAATATTGCTATTCTTGCCAGATAAATAAAGCAAAAGTATGTAAATTTGCTCTTTTCCTTAAGGACTGTTGTCTGTCTACTATACCCTACCCAGATTTTAATTTTGAAAGTTGGGTAGAATATAGGATTTAGACAGAAAATGACTGTCTGAACAAAAATCAGTTTGGGTTCCTGTTTTTAAAGAAAGGTGTCTTGGGGTGACTTTGACAAAAGAATAAAACAGCATATATTCCATGATTTTGAAATAGCCACAGCCATTCCTTCCTCTGTCTTCAGAGTGAGTCAGAGGAACGCATTTTACCCCAGCTCTGTACAATTACTAAAATTGCAACAGCAAAACAGGTCATTCATCATCCTCATAATACTATGAGAAACACAGAAATTGTACCTTACCTTCAATCACATAAATCAGTCTCTTTACTATATTGCTAGCAAGTTGTTCATAATTAGAATGAATTTTGCTTTTTCCCTTGATATGCTTTCTTATTACTGTATTTTTTCTTTATTTTTCATGGTAGGAATGAAATAGAAAAATGATATGAACTATACATTCAGAAAACATTGTAAACATTGTCAATTGATGATTAGTTGGCACACAAAGGTATAGGAAAAAATATTTCTTTCACTGCTTGGAAAAATAGAAGGTAAAACAAATTTATTTATTGTTGCATATTATAATATTTAGAATTTATAATATTCATACTATTTTTTTTTTCAATTAAAACCTCCTTATTTTCCTAGTTTGCAAATGAGACTACTGGATAATAATTCTGGTCAGGGAAATTTCCTACATTTCTGTTCCCCCCTCCCCCAAGCCCTAATACATAGTTTTGAAATAGCACTTTCTAATTATATGTGAAATCATAGATCTGCTGAAGTCCGTAAAAGCTTTTGCCCACAGATTTCAATGGAACATGGATTTTATTTTAGAGAAGGTAAACTTCATTTCCATCCTGACTGCATGGCTTTAATTAGATAAGTGAATTAACCTCAAAGATAATAACTTGACATTTCAATAGCATTACCCTTAGATTCTTAATGTTCATGAATTCAAGTAATTAAGAAGAAATAGCAATCCTGATATCTGTAAAAACTACTGAAAACGCTGGCCATATTCTGCCCATCTTAAGGTAATATCTGAAGCTTCAAATTCTATTCTTCCTTCTACTAAGGGCCCAGAATGCCAAATAAAAAGGAATAAGGGAGATGGAGCACTTAAGAGAACCTGAGAAAAAAAAGTTTTTTTCTCCATCCCAGAAATAACCAATTGTCTTCTGGCAGCTGACCTATACATGTGCTTCTGCTGTAGGGAT